GTTTTATGAGAAATGAAAAACACTGCTTCTCTACTGCTGCACTTTTTAGACATAGAAGAAAAAAAAGTAGATACAGAATATTTATGAAAAAGAAATGATTTCAAGATAAAGCTTTTTCTTTTATTTATAAATTTTTTTTTTTTAACTAGACAGATATTTTTAATGAATGAAACAAATTTTTTCCTTATTCAAATGACAGTTGCTGCAATGCAGCAGCATCTATAGATTTGATCTTTGACCAAATTATTTGGCTGTTTGATAAAAGAGAGCTAAAGTTAAACTCTTTGGAACATCGAACTCGTCCAATGGTCTATAGAATATAGCAGTCAAAAGCTTCTTTATGCCATTTGGGAACCGACATTTCAAACCAATGGATATACTAAACAAACATACTCAATATAAATCACTGTATCGACTGTAATTACACGTTTGAAGAATTGAATAATTAACAAACATTCATCGAAAGATCAATTCAACGTCAATTTAGCTATTTATTGGATTCCCTAAATATACCATATCATGATTGTTTTAATTATAAAGATCATCAAAACGTTATTAATTTATTCAAATATAACTATTCATTGATCATCAATAAATCCTTAAAAATAACTACACTGTAAATCTTAAATTTAGAAATGTTTTATTTTAGGGCATTAAAGTGTTTTACAATGACGTTATCTATTTGATTAAAATTGTAATCACTTTTGAAACACTTTTAAGTGCATTGGAATAAAATACTACGATTTGAAGTGTGCACTTTATTTTTAAATTTAGAGAATGAAGATGAATGGAATGATTTTAGAGGTAGTTTAGAATTGAAATGTTTCGGATTCCCAATCGAACTTCAAGCATCAGTTGCTCAAAAGTAGCCCAACTGTTTTCGAGATGTCATCAAATTTTTATCCATTCATATCTTCTTGAATAGTTGAATAGATTCTGCTTAAAAATCACTTTCCATACGTCGAAAAATAACTTGAAACTGACTACATCATAAGTTGAATCGGCTGAAATGGATCTGAATAAATAAGAAAAAAACAATTCTTCTTAAGTTAGAAACCGTTGTTTTTTTTGTTCATGTAACAATGGCTTTGAGTTGCAAAGTTTTGTTTTTCCAACTAGATATAGTTTCAATCATTGAACAAATATTGTCTGATATACTTTTCTGATAAAAAAGAATATTAAAACTCTTGGTTTATAATGATGCTATTGTTATTATTATTTTTATTATTATTCATTGTTAATAAACAACAGTAAGTAAAAATTTCAATTTTACAACTTTTAATTTTTTTCTTTTTATTGAAATTCTTGACCTCAAAAATCAGTCGAACGTAACCAACTTTGTTTGACAACATCTCTAACCGAGTAGACCGAATTGAATCTTGAAACGGTCAATCGATACATCTTGAGGTCACCAAGAATCAAGCAGATTATTTGATGAAATTTCCATGCAAGTAAGCACTAATAGTGACGGTAGAGTTTCAGTAAATAACAGAATATTCGTATTATTTACTAGTCATTTTTTTTTTATATTTTCTTTGCAACTTTTTTAAAGTGATTCGTCAATAATGAATTTCTAATTCTTCATATTTACCATTGAATTGATCATTTTGAATGAAATTAAAGAATTAATTTAATGTCACTTGTATTTAAACTTAATTGATTAAATGAACATTTTTTTTGTATAACGAAAATTTCATTGTCAATGAATCGAAAGTATTTGACATTAAAAATATTAATCTTTGCCACTGAGTGCCAAAAATAACAGTTATTCAACATGATAAAATAATTCAAATATCAATGATCCTACTCTGTTAATTAATTATTTGATTATTCTTTCTTTTATTTATTTAGCATCATTAAAATAATTCAGACTTGGAAAATTCATTAATAAGTTAAACGAGACTCAAGAAACCTCACAATCGACCGAGACCTCTAAATTACATCTCAAAATTAGTTGAACCTTTAACAGCAATGAACTGGCAAAGCTAGATTTTGAGCATTTCAGTTTGACGCCAAATTCAATATATTCAACAATATTTCATTCTCCAGCTACAGTTTTGTTGAGAAAATATCGATTCTGACTTCAGCCTCGACTAACCTAGTCAACTTAAATCGAAGGATTATCATGTAGCATCTCTAAGAGGAAATAGAGTTTTAAATTTTCTATCATTGACTACAGCAAAGTGAGTATTCTGATAAAACAGATACAAATTCGTTCCAATGAATAAACAAATTCAACAAGGATCCAATGGGTCTACCTTTCATCACGTTCAGTTCGCTAAAGCTAAAGTGAATGTACTGCAAATTTGACGTTTACAAAGCACCCGTTTGTCCTACACACACGTATTCCTACTTACGCATGAACGAACAAGATTGGCAAACGGAAACGTATGTATAACGTGTGACAACTCTGACCCTGGTCTTCCGTACAAGCTAAACTCAACATCCGTAGGGAAAAATTTTCATCGATAAACAACATTAAATATAACGACTGCTTACTCCAACTTCAATAAAAAAAAAAAAGTATCTCGAATCATTTTACTTATAGATTATTTCAATTGAATAAAAAATATCGTAATTTAAAGAAAGAATAGCTACAAGAGGAATCTCTCGATTCAAAGAGAACAATCATGAATAAATTACTGGTTCTTTACAATAGAGAATTGTATGCCTCTGCATAATATTCTATACTTTAGGAATATCATTAATGTATCTATCTATACTGATACATTTTTATTATTATTATTCGCGGAAATCAGCTGAAATTCGTTCAACCCTCAATCACGAAAAAGGTGAATTATAAATTGAAACAATATTTTTACTACACAAATGTCAAGATTATTATTAAAATGGAAGAATCACGAGGAAAGTAATGGTGAATGGTTTATTTAAAAGATTGAATAATTGTTAAATAATTAATATGTAAACTAAAAAAATTTTCTCAATGTTCAACATCAGCAGGAGGCATTTGTCTATTTATCTTATCATTAAAATTATCCGAAATCCATTTTTCTGTCCTTTCCGAATGATTTAACTTCCTCTAGATGAGCAATGGCTTTCCGGAAATTTATCTGATACTACCCAAGTGTGAATGGTGGAAAGCACGTTGAAATGAAAATTGAGTAAAAATAAGGAGTAATTTTACGAGATTTATTTGATATAATTTTTAATCTAAAGTGAATATTGGTGGTAAAGTACGAAATATGATAATAGGTGGTTGGAGTTGAGATTTAGCAAGACTGAAGCATCTAGTGAGTGGGAATATAAGCCCAAGGCGCAAAGGTAAAAGTGGTGAATCTTGAATACGAAATAGAGGAATTTGCCTCGAAGAAAGCAGCCACTCTATTTCTTAGAGAATATCGTATTATTTTGTAGACATTTTGAATCACTTTTAGAATACCAGTTATGGTATATTAACAAAAAATTTTACATTTTCATCCAGATGTGTCACGTTTATTTATAACGAATATGCATTTCATATTGGAGAAGATTTTTTAATATTACTGCATTTAATTATTATTTGTTTGTTTCACATTACTGTGTTCAAGAATTCAAACTATATTTTCAAAATGAATTTTACGGATATTTTATCCTATCAAATCTCAGTACGTGGATAAAAAACTGCCTCGTCTCTATGTTCTCTCGAATATTTTTGCTAACAAATTTTTTAAATTCTTTTATTTATAAATGTAAATTTTAATAGATTATAATGAATATTATCCAGTTTTTTTTATTATTTTCCTGCTATTTTTATGTCATAATGATTTTTTTTTTTAATTTTATTAAAGGAACTAGTTACCACCCTTCGTCATTATGAGATATGAAAAAATACTTCACCTCTTCTTCGAATATAAAAAAATTAAGGCTGCCTATTTTCAAACAAAATCATGAAACAGGTCAACTTTGACATTTCACTTCTCTGTGAAGGACGTGTGGGAAATTTTCATTTTTTAATGAATGCTATATTGAATCTTCTATTCTTTAAATACACACACACACAAACGACACACGACGTTGACACATTGCCCTTATCACAAATTAGGTCTACAAATTTTCAAACTGATCTCATTCTATTATTATAACCTTTTTTTTTTTAAAGAAAATTAAATAAACAACAAAATACTTTACTTGTTGAAATTCTTCAAAAAGAAATAAAATGATTAAATTTTCATGTTGATTTATTTAAAAGATAATTATAGTAAAGAGTAATAAAAAAAAAAAAATTTCAATCATTCAACTTTATTCTTCATCCTAGTTATGATTAAATATTTAAAGAATATCTTTCTTAAACCGATAAAATTAAACACAGCTAAAATAAATTTTATTACAAACTCCAAAGAAACTTGTCTTAATCTAAAATTTATTTCTCTGTTCTATTTATCAAATTTTAGCGTAGTTCGTAAATTTCTGTTTTTCCTCAAAAAAACGTCCATTAATCTCCAGACGTGGTACCTAAAGAGTTTAGAACTGAATATCTCACGATTGAAGCTTCGAGAATGATATGACAACGGATCCTAATTCTCATTTTAATTGGAAAAATATTCAATGATGCACAAAACCAAGGATCAAGATAATCTAAGGATTTTCGCGTCACCTTAGATTGAAAGTAAAATTAGAAATCTACGTCTCTTAAAGCTAAAGACAATGAGATTGTGACAACGAAGAGGGTGAGATAGAGCTTGGCAGATGGTAAAACGAACGAGAGTGAAAAGAACCAAAGAAGAAGGAATGGATAGATATAGAATGATAGACGAGAGCAAGTTCGAAGTTTCCAGTTGCAACGATGCGGAAAGAGCTAGGGGCGCGTGGACGAACTGAGTGGAACGGGATATAAGCAAGCCAAAAGCTGAATGTAGAACCAAAGCAACGGAAAGAGCGAGAAAGAGGGATGATCCTTTTGCCCACTTCACCCTTCTGCTCGCTTGCTGCTTCCTATCCCCAGTGATCGGACGCTCCCACATCTCTGCGCCACCGCACCAACGCGCAGTCCATCGGCGACTCTTGAATGGAAACGACGTACTTGTCGACATCACGTTCCAACTCAAACGAGGGAACGTGTTGAACCACGCGGATATCGTGTCCACCCATGTGTGATGGGCCCCAAAGTAACCATTAACTTTCGTAGTGTGTGACTAATCGCTTTATTACCAGTGTTACACTCGTTCTGACCAACTGTGTTTTACATTATCCAAAATGCCCTATGCTACTTTTATATCCAAAACCTCAGGGTACGTTCATTTGATTTTTCTCTTATTCTTCAGTTCTATCTCTACTCTGCCACAAGCTTTTCATCGTTTGTTCGTATTTTACATTCGAATTTTCACCATCATTTAATACCAAGAGAATTTAAGAGTTTTAAATTTTATTTTGCGCGAGCAAAAAAGTTCCCAACTGTACTTAATAGAAGGATATTAGTTTTTAATGAATATTTTTAAAATGCCAATGACCTGACTTATTTTATCCTGTACAAAATAGACGAAATATTTTTCAATTTAATCAGAAAAAAAATTTTTACTCTTTTTATGGTGCTTAGTAGAATATCATTAATGCAAATATTTTCATCAAATTGAATTCATATACAAAAAGTTGTGTATTAAAGGAAAAAAAAAAAAAATAATAATAAAACAAACAATATCTGAATAAATGACCACTACTTTTCTATTGTATTTTTTCGTTGTATAATAAACAATAGTCCTTGATCAATTTTATTTTTTGCAAATTTAATTGCTATGGAAAAATTGTCTGATTGTTGTAGAAAATTTTTGTAATATTTTTTCACAATTGTTTTGTTGAATAAAATAAACATTTTATTAATCAATAAACAAATGACTTCCTCTACAATATTGAGGTAAAGATTTCACGAATGTTTTTATTTAATTACTCTAAGCTTCGTAATACCACGATTAACTCATGAACACGTTAACAAGAAGAGGTTGATTTGTGGATTTGAAATGCTGATTTGCCACTTTGCTGATAAACTATTGCCTTTAATTAACAACGCTTTCATGTTTTTCCTTTCTTTTATCACTACAAGCTATTGCCGCTCTTAATTTGTCTTTGAACTGACAAAAAAAATTGCTATGTCAACACTTTTTTAAATTATTCCTTATCTTGATATAACTCTGATATTATTTCTCATTCTCTTCTTTTACCTCTTGAGCCATTTCATCTAAATAAAACTCATATAACTCTTTTTTTTTTTTTCCTTTTTACAGATGTTGCAATGATTCGTAAAAGTGTATGACCCTGGACATGTCGACAATGTTGGGACTTTATTGTCCAATCAAATTGGAGATTGGTCCTTCACTCCGAAATATGAGAATGACGAGCATAAAACGAAATGTGAAATAAAAATTGACACGCAGTCAGGTGGAGTGGGTTGACATCACTTGAGCATTATTGTTACGTTCCTAAAGACAGATGCTATTTCAATGATTGACATATTTGAAGACATCAATTGTCAATAAAAATCATTCAAGTCTTACTTGATGATTTTTTATCAGCCAATGAGATTGATAAAATCGTATCTAACGAAACATCCATAAAAATGCAAATAACTGAGTTAAAAAAAAAAACACTATGAAATAGTTGAGTGTTTGCATTTAGAAGATGTGTTTTGAAAATGTGTTGACCAAGTGTTTACGTGTAAAAGCGTGTTAAAACTCACGTGTTAGTTGGAGGATTATTATTAAGCTGTCATCCTTTTGCAGTCGACCTTTTCATGACTTCCAACAGGTAACTCTTTTTTTGTTTGTATTATTTGTTGATTGAAACAACGTCTTTGTGATTCTAAACATGTATGTATACACGTCAGGATAAAAGGTATATTTATAAAAATAAAAGATAGTGGAGAATGGTGGTATATAATAGATTAATACAGCATATTTGAAACACCAACATGCCTATATGATTAATTATCAGTGATATCGAGAATGACGATGGACAAATCATGAGCGGTAGCTATGCCGTTGATGAGACAGGGAATAGTGGTTGTGGCTTAGTATCGTGTTGTGACCACAATTACGATCAGCATGCAGTCGCCGGGTGTCATCTATAGGAGCTTAGCTTCAGGATTATGTAGAGCAAGTGACAAAATTCCACAATAGGGTCTCGAAGTTTCTAATTACAACAGACCACAAAAGACTACAAGTTAGAACCATATACTTGTAGTGGTAAAAACACCAACACTATTTGAAATAACATCAAATTTATTATATTTAATTATCAATTCTCGTCATTTATTAAAACGAAAGAAGAATACTTTCATTTTTCTGTAAAGTGTTTTTTACTCCATTCTTTTGATATTATATTACTATTTAACATCAGAAGTTGAAGCTTCATTTCGATTTTTATTCCAACTTGTAATGATAATGAGCGAAGCTTCATAGTTTTTTTTTTTAAATAAAGATAGTTTGTATTATTGCTTTTTAAAATGACTTCTCAGAACACTATTATTATTATTATCATAAAAAAGAAAGTTGTTTAAATATAAAATAATAAGTGTTTAATTGAATGACTTTACGTTTGACTTAAATAAAGTCCAAGTAATATAAAGTCAAAGCAATGGAAAATAAATTATTGATGAAGTTAGTTCATGTAGATGCATAATTTATTTTCGAAAGCTTGTTTGTTTGTACATGAAAAATACTTATCAGCTGAGAGTAAATTTATAAAAGATTGCTATTTTTAATCTTTGTTTAATCTTTGATTAATTTAACGAAACTTTTTTTGATTAATATTCTAATTTATTATTAATACTTTGTTGATATCTGATGATTAATTTATTAAAATATTTATTCTTTTAACCACTTTCCTCTATAATACAAAGTAATATGAAATTTTCCATCAATTTTCTAATCAAATTATTTTAAAGTGTTATAACCTACTAGACAAGTAATCAACACCACTTCATTACTTCAGCTCAATTACAAAATTTAATTGACATTTTATACGACGTTTTAACATGGTCTCATGTAATTATTTGAAAAATTCTTTATAAAGAAAATTCCTAAGATACTATCTTTAATGAGTGTGAAAAAAATTTGTCTTGTTGAATTATTTCTAATTTTTAATTCAATACCAAAAGATAAAGTTAATGAATTCATTAAAGTTGATCTAGAATATTTTTATCAATTATATAACTTTATTGTTCTATTTAAAAATGGAGTTGCTCCATTCTCCATTAATATTATTTAAATACTTAACAATACAATAACTGATTTTCAATTTATCCTGGACGGTAAACGGTCTAAAATATCGATCGTATGAACGTCATCAGAGAATATGGCATCTAATCTTGGAACTTCCATCGGTCTATCACGTACACAACATTTCACATTCGATTAACAATAGCCGGGTGTGGATAATATAGTTTTGATGTATGTTCGTAACACCTTGAAGCCCATCATCCATTATATTGTTCGTTATTCATCACCCTTTATACCCAGAGTATACCAAGTTTCTATGTAAAATGATGTTTCTCTTTTTCTCATGTGTACTAAAAGGATTTAGCGTTGATCTCAATTGTAAGAATTGTTGATCCAACTGGAGAAAATATTTTTGTTAAAACAACACACTTTTAACTTTTCCCTAATCTTGATGAATCGTGCATCTGGGAACGACACACAATTTTTCTAAAAATTTCCTCTAGCTCTCTTACGACAACTACTGCCATAAGAAATATAGCATGACGTGTGTTTTCTGCTGGACTATCTTGTGGAAGTCGATTGGCTTGAAGTAGTGTTGGAGTCACGCCAAGATGTTCCTGGATCCATGAACTTTGTATGACCTCATGCGGTCGTGATGTGTCTCTTTTCACATAGAAAGGAAAGAGCTTTCTCTCCTCATTTAAGAATCCTCGGTATGTTTTATAAGAATGAACAAAACTTATTCGGATGTATCTTATAAGAGATTCAAGTGTACTTTTTAAATTTGAAACTATCAGAGCATTTTCATGTCACGGTGTATCAACGAATTTAGAGTATTAAAGAGTACCTCTACAATCGCTCAAAGGGGTCTTTTTCAAAAGATATTACTGCGAATATTACGCTTCAAAGAATATTGATCCACTGTTAAAGATTCAAGGCTGACGTCATCGAATGCAATGGGGCAAAACGTGTCGTAAGCGTTTGCTTTACGCTCTATATACATAGATATGTATGTTCTTTTGTCTGTTTATATGCCATTCATTTGATAGATTTGATTACCATGTTAATTTATGCTTCTATCAAATTTTCAATAATACCACTTTTGCATATCTAATTTAACCGAGTTTATTACCATCCGATTGTTCAATTCATTACTGTTGTCTATTTAGTGAACATTACTACTGACTTTTTACCAACCTTTTTTTCCCTTTTTTCATTATTGACTATTTGAAGAGACTATTTTGTACATCTGCATTGGTATTATTTTTCATCAAGTACTTCTGATGTATGTATTTGAATTATTTCTTTTTTTTTTTGCAGAAAAATAAAGTGTATAAAGAATAAAAAATATATTTCTTTGTAAGTTAACTACCTTGAAAATATTTTCTCGTTAAAGTTTTTTTTTTTTTCTTGGTACTTTAATATCGTGTATGTTTTTTTGAAATAAGTATTTATGATGAAAGCTTTTTATTTAAAACACACATTTTTTAGGATTAACTAGAAATTTTTTGCGCAAATTTTTTTTATTTCAATGTCAGTTCAATTTTTATCAATCTTTCAAGTAAATTGATTTCTAATTTAAAACACAAAAAATTAGTGATTAACATTCTGTTGGAATTTATTGATAATTTTTCTTGAGAGAAATTATTGATTTAACGATTAAAATAAAAAATATGTAACATAAACTTTATTTATTATTAGCAAAGTTTGTGTATATATGTAAAAATTACTACATTGAATTGTGCAGCTATTGTGAGTATATAATGTTCAACGTGACAAAAGTTGCTGAAGCACGTGAGATAATTCATTTTGATGGTGCAGCAGAGTAAAGAAAAAAATAACAAGGGATAGAAAAAAGTAGGATAAAGTAAATAAATAAAGAGTATTTGGTGAGCATCGAGGGAAAAAAAAATTTTTATAAAAAAAAAAAAATCGAAGAGGGTATAATTCTTGGCAACACAGATTTCTAGTTCCCGCCCGAAGCCTGTAATCACGTCAGATAAATACTACTATCCCCGTGCTTGTAAATATTGGACCAGCGATAAATTTCGTTTGTGTGGATTTACGGCGCAGTGATTGAATGTGACGTGAAGAGAAAGGTGCTTTATCGTAATTCGTACTAGAAGGGTTAAATAGAAAGGAAAGGTTTTGAAGAGTGAATCAAACCTTTTAATAGCTTTGAGAGAATTTTAGCAAAAAAAAAAACAAATTCCCTTCAAAGGAATTAGAAAAGAGTTTTTACCTCTCTTATACTCTTTTTCAAGAAAAATTAATAGTAGTCTAATAAAAGAAAAAGGCTGCCTTTTCCAATTAGTTTCAGATAATCAATCAACATTTTTTCGTATAAAAAATTCAAATTCTTTTAGCTGTCATATTTATTTTAACGCCCAGAAATTCATTCACTAGTTAGATGCACAAAATAAGTAAATAAATAAATGCTATTTATCATTATTTATCTTGAGAAAAATAATTGACATATGAATTCTCCAAATCCTTTGAAAAATGTCGAAAGTTTCAGGCAACAACATCTTACGAGTAACATTCGCGCAATGATTTATCGTTAAAAATTATCTCAAAAAATCTTTAAAAATAGCGTGAAGTTTAAAACGATTTGGTATAAAATTTATAGTCAGCCATTGAAAAATTTCTGGCGACTAGACCGAGCGTTTGTTGAAATAAACTGCCGTTATCCCGAGAAAAAGTGACCCAGAAGGGGCCAAAACTTGCTACAGTTACGACGCCCCCGATCGCACATTCTGTCGTTAATGGAGCTACCACGGAAATTGGTTCCAAGTCTCCAAGCCTCGGATATCCACATTCTAGTGCGTTGTACGATCGCTACTGCATGTCTCATAGCAATAAAATGCGAATAAGTGCCTCTCGGTTTGTGGAATTTTTTTTCTTCTTTACACTACTGCTATTGTTGGCGGCATTCCTTTTTTATTTTAAGAAAAACTCGGGGAATTTGTTGGTTAATTGACTCACGCCTACTATGTCGACAAAGTTAATTAACCGACAAAAAGTTAATTAAATCCATTTTTTTCTCTCCTCTCATTTTTACGGGATCTATTTTTCGACTTATTTTTTACTGTATACGAAACCCCAATATCACGTTCCATATTATGTGCACTTAATGGCTTTCTTCTTTACTGAACTTGGTACTTAACTATAGGAGAATTTTTTAAACTCACTCTTTACACCAGTTACAAAGGGTAAACTGGGTTAAGAAGTTGAGTTACGGAAATGGTGAAGTTTAAGATAACTGCTGACAAAGAATGTGAATGCGTAGTCTACGTGCGAAGCATTTTATATGAAAATACTTCATTGATATGATAATCATCACTCTCAGGTATTTTCTGTTAATAATTTGGAATCAATACAAACTCAAAGTTACATCCATTTAAACTTCTACTTTGGAAACTAATCATTTCCCTTTTAGAGCGAGAAAAAAAAATTGATCAATAATTTTGTTTAATCGTTCAACATTTGAAATAAATCAAAGTATTATTAACAATAATACTTCAATAAATTCCAAGTAATAAAATTGAAATATTAATAACATTTTTTTATACCGGAATAATAATAATA